CCGACAGCACATGGCAGCTCTGCTTCCACAGGTAGGGAGGCAGGGTGTTGGCAATGGGCTTGAGCTTGAATACGATTTCCGTCTGGGGGGTGTTCGCCTTAGACGCGTACCTTTCCAACACAAGTGTGTACGGTGACGTTTTTTAAATATATGGGGGCCCGCGCACTGGCCGCAGAGGTAGTATAAAATATTTGTTTAAATCCGTATATTTAAATCCCAGTATGACGTGATCTAGCCTTCAGTCTTGAAAAGGTGAAGGCTGGAATGCTGGAGGGTTGAAGGCTGGAAGGGGTTTGGGGCTTGAGGGGTTGAAGGCTGGAAGGCTGGAGACTGCAAGGGCTGGAGGGGTTGAAGGCCAGGCTGGAGTGCTCCCGCCCTCCAGCCTGCCTTCCAACCTTTCCTCCCTTCCAGCCTTCCTCCAGCCCCAGCCCTCCAACCCTCCAGGCTTCCAGCCTTCCTCCAGCCCCAGCCCAGCCAGCCTTCCAACCTTCCAGCCTTCCACATCCAGGCCAGCCCTCCAAGGTTGGAAGGCTGGAGGAAGGCGGGAAGGTCGGAGGAAGGAGGGCTGGAGGGTTGGGCTGGGCTGGAGGAAGGCTGGAAGGCTGAGAAGGCTGGAGGGCTGAGGGCTGGAGGCTGGAAGGTTGGAAGGTTGGAAGGCTGGAGGGCTGGCTGGAAAACTGGAAGGCTGGAAGGCTTGAAGGCCGGAGCTGGGGAGCTGGGAAGGCTGGAGGGGGGCTTGAAAACTGGAAGGTTTGAAGGCTGGAGGGCAAAGCTGGAGGGCGGGGGCTGGTGGAAGGCTGGAGGGGCTGGGTCTGGAAAATTGGACTGGAGGGTTGGGCTGGGAAGGCTGGGCTTGAGGAAGGCTGGAGAACCTAAAGCTGAAAGGTTTGGCTTCTACCTGAACCCTAAACCCTTAAACCCTAAACCCCAAAATCCTAAACCCCAAACCCACCAATCATCTGCCAATCTCCGGATATTTTATTTCGATTCGGGCCCGGGCGATGTTTCACGGAGGTAGTGTAATATACCTGTTTAACACTTTTTAAATATCCGTGTATTTAAAAGCAGACGCCGTAGCACTGTTGAGGCACGCGGACCCGCGATGCTAGCGATGCTAGTGTTTTCCGTTGTTGTTTGTGTTTTGCAGCAGTGGTAGGCGGTTTGCACGAGTCGGGGCCTCAGAGTGCTGAGATGCTTGAGGTTGGGGAAAAGTCCTGAAACGAGGCAGGCAGTCAAAGGAACGGGGAACTAGATGTGGTATTCGTCTGTTATTTTCTCTAGCTTTCGTAGCCCAGATCTCAAGTTGTCGTGCTGAGCTTCACTCGCCGGATGTGGCTGTGGCCATCCTCGCTTGAGCTTACGAGCCCGATAGAAACAGAGGGAAGAAAGAAGACAGGAAGAGAGAGACCCAACTCGAGCACAGCATCGGGATGCAACGTATCCGCACAAGCACCGATGGATGGAAGCCCAGACTGGCCGCTGACTTCCTAGTGGCTTTCCACAAAAAGCTAAGAAGTTGCACCACAGCACACTTCTGCGCCATCTTCCATCTTTCCGGCATTCGGGGCTCGGGGGGCTTGCAGCTGTACGGCCGAGGTGAGTTCTTCATCCCTGGTCAGATCCGACACCCCTGCCAGGATCAGAAATCAGAGCGCAAGGAAAAGTGTCTGGACAGCAACCAGTTTGGAAGTGTCGGATGTGCTGCTCCGCTGCCGTGCTAATCTCCTGTGCAGAACCACGGAGGACATCCTGGTTTGCCAGTATGCTGCCCGCGCAACGGCGAAGCCGCAGATCGATGGCTTTCAAGTGCGCCGCAGACTGTCCTCACACGCCACATTGCCACGTGTTCCGCCTATCGCAGGCTGCTGCCTGAAGAGGAAGCAGCAGCATATGGCCCGAGCAGCTTGCATGCACCATGGCTTGTGGCTTTCGATTCTGGCAGGGGCGGAACAGCAACACGAGGCAGACTTTAAGCTAGACGGCGCACGTGTGGGCATTTGTTTGGAAGGGCTTGCGGCAGCTCCAATCCTGGCCTGCTCAGGAAACTGGGTCACACCGGAAGCCCCTTCAGCCGCAATGGCCGAACAACTTTCGGGCCAGGCATATATGGCCATGAGCAGTGCCAGGGCATCTAGCTGCATCCGAGGACTTGAAAGGCGGAGAGCGCTTGGCGAAGTGGTCCGAGGGCACCTCGTCATCTTGAAAAATGCTGTTTCGGCATAGTTCCCATCATTTCCCTTTAGAGTTCGCAAAGGTCTGCTTCAAGACGGCAATGAAAAGCAGGGCTTGAGCCCGTCGGCCGTGCAGCTTGAGACGAAGGCTGGTGGTCCCAAGGCCTGGTGCCTGCTAGACCCCGAAGCCCTGAATGGCACGTACTCCTTGGCTGCATCGCACTGGCGGACTTCTTCGCATTCTTCGCAAGCAGAAGCTGCGAAGTACGGCCTGGCAACGGTGCTTGGCCTGCCTCGTTCAACATCCTGACATGGCATTTCTGCAGTGCAGTGACAGGCTCAGCTCGTGGGCGTGCCAGCAGAGAGCACGACAATTCTAAAGGAGAAGAAGGAAGAAGTCAAGGATTGAAGACTCTTTTCGGATGGCTTAGAAGCACGAGCCTGTGAGTCCTGTGTCCTGTGAGCACAGGACCAGAGTGCAAAGCCTGCTGCGAGCCCTGCAGCGGCGCTGCAGGCCCCACGTGAGCCACGTGAGCCATGTCATGGCCTCTTCCTTTCAAGACGGGGACGAAACGAAGCCGTTATACTCGTGACGCGGAGGATGCGAACTGCATCGATGCGCTCGGGCGCATCGAGGGGAGGATGGGGGAGCTGCTCGCGTGCATGACGGACTTGGCCGGGAACCTCAAGGAGCCGAGCGATGCCCCTGCGGCGATGCCGCCTGCGGCGCGCAGTTGCCTTGTGCAGGACTTGGCGCAGGGCGATGTCAAGAAAAAGGCAAGGCCAAGCCCGCAGTGATGTGTCAGCTTGAGGGCGACAGTGTGGAGTTTTTAGCAGGATGCACCACGCACAACGACGGTCGTCAAGACGAAGGCAGGGAACCTCGTGAGATGAGGGGATGTTCCGATAAGGAGTGGCACAATCAGGATGCTTTGCTTGCTGTGCAACGGAGCTGAGGCCAAGAAGGAATCAAGCGCGCCTCCGGCCCAAGCGACCACAGGGGAAAGTCTCCATCAGGATCTTGGGCGGCACCTGCCTGTAAAGAACCTTCTGCATGGCTCCAGTCTTTGTGCGGCGGAGTGCCTCACGTTCTCGCCTGCCTCCACCTCACTGCAGGAGACGTGATCGGGCCGCATGTGCCAGTGTCGCCCAACTCCAGGGTTGCGCTGTGGGATTTCAGCGCAGCAGCAAGCAAACAAGGATTGCGCATGTTCGGAATGATAGAGGCTTGGGTGCCATGATGGGTGGGACTTGCTTTCGGCACTGCTGAGGCAGCCATCGTTTGCTTCCTAGCATTTACACTCGCATGCAGCCTCTAGTCTCACATGAGCAGCTTCTTCTTTTCCCTTTGAAACTCCAGGGGCACGCGCGATTTTATTGTCTGCAAGGCATTGATTATCAGAGTCACGCTGCCTCAGCCAAGCTCCAGCCGAGAAGCCACGATTGAAGGCCTCGCGAAAGCGCGGCCTCACCTGCTCTCATGCAGCTGTAGATTCAGGAAAGTTTGGTTCTCGGGCCCTGCCTTGGGCTTCTTGGACCCAAGTTCCGCAAAGATCAGCTCGCGGTGTTGTGGAGTGTCATGTCTGAGTTAGTTAGCAGCTAATTGAGGCTGTTATGCAGTCATAGACGAGGTGCGAGACACAACTTTGATGTTTGTTCTGCTTCAGACTTGCAGCAAGCCGAACGACTGAAAGTGTATTGCCGCAGACTGCTGACTGCAGCCGATTCCTTGAAGAGGATGTGCTACCTTGGTTTATGCGATTATAAATGCGTGGTTTCTCCAAAATGCATGGTCCGATTGTTTTGAGCATGCACATCGACAGAATCCTCGAAGAGACCACGGGCCTTGATTTGAGAAGCCAGCATCCTGGTAGCCTTCAAGCTCGGTGCCCTCTTGGCCAAGCTCTGAAACGGAATCCAGGGGGATGCACGGGGGGGGGGGGGGGGGGCAAAACCTTGTCAGCGACAGCAAAGCAATGGCCAGGAAAGGGGTGCAGAAGATGCCAGATTTCAGCTTAATGCACTTCGCAGACTGGCGCATGCATTTAGTGCCCCAAAGGGGCCAAGACGAGGTGCATGCAACAGGCTGTTGAGCTGGAGCCCTGCACTTGAGTGGAGTTGAAAGTCTGAAAGTAGGCGCAAAGGCAGCTCTGGGTGATTCACTCGTTCAATCCATGAACAAGCTGGGCCCCAGCTACTCCTATTGGAGATGTTGCAACTGGATGCCTGTACAGTACCTCCAAAGCTTGAGCCAAGGGCCGTGCCATGCCTTCTCAGATGTCGGGCTTGACTAGCTGACTAGCAGTGCTCTTGGGTCAAAGCTTCGGTGGGGCTGCCGCAAGCAATTTCATGACATCCGCCCCCCGAGCTGCTTCGCCGACACTCCTGAAGCATGGGTGTCGTCCGGTATGGATAAGGTCGGCTAGTGCCAGCATCACCTACGGCAATGCAGAAGATGGTTCGCAGCACACTGTTGACAGCTGTTTCGCTCAAAGTTGTTTTGTGGAGTCATACCGAAACTACGACATGGGCTCATTGCACCGGATGCAACACGCGGGTAGACGCATAGCCGAAAGGCCGTCGCAGGAGAAGAAAACACCGTCTAGGCGTCAAGCTCGCTCTCAGCTGATCCCGCCTTGGTTACTTGCAACCGCAATCATGTATCTGATCCATCGCCAATCCCAGATATCCCAAGTACTCGTAATCAGAAAAGCTGTGTGCTTGCAGTCGCCCCGAACAGATGTCTATGTTTCTCCAGGAAAAGGGAACTTCACATGAGTCTGTTGTGGAAGCTGAGCACCTGTTCCGAAAGCTTTCCTGCCACGCCAGCTACGTCTTCTTCGTGCCGTGAATTGCGGGCCACAGCCACAGAAGCTGAATGTTCAGGGTTTGCTAGGCAAAGAGCAGCACAGGCCTACGTTGTGTGCCGGGGACATCCTCCTCATCAGGGGAACAAATTGCCAGGAATCGCAAGACCTATTTTTCATGGCACGACCGAGGTCGCAGCACTCTGCTCTGGTGACACAGGCGCCTGTGCTCGCGATATGTTCAGGGCAGATGTCCGCCTCGCACCTTCAATCCCACTTGATGCAGGACGGCAAGCTTCTCACCTTTGGCACCGGCTGGTTCGGACGACTCGGACATGGAGTCAGAGCCTCGAGTGAGAGCATCGCGAGTGCAGGGGCAATGAACATCGAAACATATCCCCTTGCAAAAATGATCAGAGTTCAATCAGTTGCACTTCGTCATGGTTCCCTTCCATGGCGGCACATTCCCTGCGCCAGGACATGAAGAATGAGTATGTTCCAGCGCTTGCAGGGGCTCCCAGTACGGTAGAACATAATTTGGCAGTTTTGCCTTGAGCAGAAATTTGGCCTTTGCCACCTCTCGGTTGCCTTTCTTCCGATGATCTCATCACAAAACATGTGATGCCAGCCTTGGTCGACCTACCAAACTCGATTTCGGCTACACCGCTCCCGGGCCCAACCCGACAACAGTGTTATTGCTTTAGGCTTGGTCCAGCGGTGACTACAACTTCATGCAGACACTTGCATGCTTGAGAAGGACAGGATGCTCGTTGCGCGGGCGAACAGGTGACAGACGACAGAACGGCAGCCGCGGGTGTCGGAAGCACCGGGTAGACCAGCTACGTGCCAGCAACAGAACAAGACAGCAGGGACAGGCACCACCGGTTGTTCTGTCGACTGTACATGTTGACATCTTGCCGTGCAGAGGTGCCAATGTCGACACACGTGAAGGAAGTTCACTGCGCCATGCGCCCCCGGAAACCTGAGACAGGTTTGCGCTTGCATCCTGCTGCCGCTGTTGCCAACCCTGCCTTGCTGGGCTGCCGGTTGCATATCGAGCTGAGGCCTCCGTTACTCTCTTCTGACAAGATTAGGAAATGAAAAGATTCAGCTGTTTAGTTGCAGCACAACGAGGTACCACACGTGCATCGTAGACTCGAAGGATCATCTCTGGGTCTCCGCCCCGGCGAGCACCCAGCTCGATAGACTTGCGCGAGTTCTTGAAGCGTCCCCAAGGTCTGCGGAAGGGATTCGTCCCTGTGCAGAGACGCACAGAACCACGTGCTCGGAACTTATGGCCGAAGGGCGGGGGAATTAGGTAATTAATTGCTTGGACTCTGCTTTGCACCCTCTCTTCTCTTGAGGCTGTCGCCGATTCTTTTCGAGCCGTTCCAGCACGAGGGGGAGGTCCGGTGTGTTCGCTCGCAGGGGGCTCAGTGGTTCTGCCCTAACATGAGCGTGTCCAAGATGAGCAGCTGGCCAAGAGCGCTGGTGAGCCGACGAATTTTTGAAAGCCTTTTAAGCCTTTGGACCCGATTGCACAGTTGCCCCAAGTCCATGAATCGATACAGCCCTCGACTCTCGAACAACTAGCATGTCATGCTGTTCGAGTGCCAGGTTCATGCAATGTGGCAGCCTAGTTAGCGACACAAGTCTAAGTCTCAATGTCGCGATCTTAGCGACGCGTGCTTGGGAGGCTTGCCACCTGTGAGCAGCACACACTGGTAGCGACCTATCGGCAGCGCGGTCCCTCAGAAGTCGAGTCCAGAAAGCCAAGAGCGGGGCAGACCTATGACAGTGTCGGCCTCGAGAAGCTGGCAACCCTTGGGATGTGCTGAGGAACAATCCAGATGACACCGAGCTCTGGGTTTGGGGCCCGCACCCAAGGAAGGTCGTTCGGTGCTGCGTGAAGAACATGCGTCGGCACACCGATGTAGCCTCTTCCCCGCCTCCCTTCCTGGTGCTTTTGTATGCTTTTGTCTGCTTTTGTCCATGCTGCAGCCCTTGGAGCTCTTGCTGAGCCCAGTATGGCCTTGGCGGCCGCGAGCCCTACCAGCCTGTCGCACAGCCATGGGCTGGAACCGATCTGGCAGCCCCTCCCTGCCAGGAGCTCACATACACATCAACTTTTCCTGGTTTACCTTCAACCCAATTCAACCCTTTCTTCACTGTGCATGCTATTGCCAGCCCCCAGCTGCTTCGCATTGTGGCTGGTAGAGTGTAGAGTACATAAAGTAAAGGCATGCCAAATCCTTGCAGAAAAACTCAGACATCGCACGTACCTCGACACATGCTGCATGCTGTTAAAAAGTTTGTTTGCCCAGGGTGTTTTGGAACAGCGGAATTAAAAGATCATTGGGGATGAGTGCCCTCTTCATCTGGGGAGCGGCACTGCCCTCCAGGTTGCTTTGTCTGTCCCTGGCCTGCCGCAGTTGCACCTCAAAGTGCTGTCGCAATCGTGTGGGCGAGGACAAAGAAATTTCCTGGCAAATGTGCCCCATGCAGGAGGAACCTGAGAATAGGCAGAGTCAGATCCCTTTGCTCCAGCTCGTCCAGGCGGACGTGGGGCATTCCAAGGCCAGAGCTTGCCTATTACTATCGGGAATCGGAATGTGTGTAGTGCAGAAAGGTATGGGGTTGGAACGCTTTGACAAGTCGCGGCTCCTTCCCTCACCACCCTCGCACCAAGATCTCACCACTTGCTCCCTCCCCTTCTCCCTCACCTCGTCTCTCCTCCTCGCTCGCTGTCCCACTGCGCCCAAGCAGCACTCTGCAGGCACAACAGCATCAGCACCTCCATCATAGTTGCTTTGAAGACCTGAGCTTAGTCTGAGCCGAACAACCAGGAAGAACTTGGCTGGTGACAGCGCTAGTCGACCTAGTCTCATTGACAGGAACACACTTCCCCCGTCCCTTTGCTACTGCTGGTCCCTTCCTTTTCCTGTGCCTCTCTCTCTCTCTCTATCTCTCACACTCTCCCTTCTCTTCTCTCCTGTTACGGGCAGCAGCGCCTGCCTTGATTCCCATAGCACCGTAGCTGGCCATGGTCTTGTCACAGTCTGTTTGCCAATGCACCACTGGCGTATCCACAGAGCATGTTGCGCAAAAGAGCAAGTTCAATGCCAACCAACACGTATGGTTTTCACAGCTTGGCTGTCTCGATAGTCTCCTCATGTGTGGCCTGGTCTCATTCGATTTGATGGCGTCGACTCACACCTTTCCCGTGTCGGGGCGCACGCCCACCGCCAGGTCGCGGCTTGAGCTTGCCGCGGCCTTCACTGCCGCTGCCGGTTCTCTGTGCTGGGCTCGGGGCCCACGAGCCTCCAAAAAGAGGCGGCTCAGAACCTTGGCGAACGCTCGACTTCGGATTCCCGTGCGAGCGTTCCAAGCTTTCTTGACTATGACTAGGCCCGTTCTTGCCTTGGCCTGGCCCGTCTTTAGCTTTTCACTGATCGCAAACTTGTTGCTGCTCTTTTTTCTGTTATCTCAAGCTACTGTTGGAACAGCTGCTGAGGACATGTCTATGTCCGAGCACAGGAGCCACTCGGCTGTGCGGCAAGGCCATTCATAGGGGGCCTAAAGAGCAATGTCCGCACTGCACATGGCGCACAGATCCTGGTGGCGGACTCAAGTTGGAACCGAGGGAGATTTCAGTGGAGGATGAGGGTCCTGAAGAGCCGGTCTACGACCTTGAGCCTTCAGTGCTCGGGGCCCCGCCTGACCTCTCCTTCATGAGCCTGGGCGGCCTTTTGCAGAACAATGCTTGCCAGTTCGTCTTTCCAAAGCAGTGTGATGACCCCGGAAGGTGGGCACGGCGGTTCCGAGTCTCGAGCGCTGGTGCGGTGCACATTTTTCGATTCAAGATCGATTTTTGCCACGGTCATCGCAAACTCCAATCCTTCGGCGCTTTCCGCCTTGACAAAATATCTCACTCTCGCCACGGTGCCGTGCGTATTTCGTCGCGTTTTCGAGTGGGAATCGTGGTCCCGTGACGGTCCCGTGCTCCGTGTCCTCGAGATCCTTGTCTCAAAGTCCCGCCAATGCTGATAGTGCTCCCGCCACGGCGTGGTGCGCTCTTTGTACTCAGGAAGGTCTCGAAGCCTGGGAGCTCTTTCACTGCTTAAGGTTTGACATCTATACTTTGACCTTGCGTGTTTCGCGTTTCTTTTTGCGGATGCAAGGATTGAGGAGGTTCCATCTCGCAGCAGCTCCTCGCTAATCATCCACCACCGGCTTGGCTCGGAGTCGCACTACCAAGCAGTGGCTGGGCATGATCCCAAAGCAATGTGCGTTGCAGCTTCCAGAACCCTTTCACCAGGTGGTAGTCGAGGGAGAGCGACTAGAATCATGTACATAGAGCGCATAATTAGTCCTCTTGAGCCCCAAATTTGAAGAATTATCCATTCTTTACAAGGCTACGTCTTCTCAAGTTCTTTCAGAGAGAGTGCCCGCCTAGGTTCTCAAGTTGGTGGAAGAATATCTTCCGCCCCTCATCATTGATATGCTAGTTGCGCTGGTTGTGGTTCATCTGGATCGGATGCTGTGCTCCTTCGTCATCGGGCACGGGCCAAAGCCGGCCGGTGGGGACAAGAAGCCGGCACAAATCGCTGTCCATATCATGTTCAAGCAGCAAGGGCCAATGCCCAAAAGAAAGCGCTTCTGGTTTCCCGGGACTTTTCAGGAAGTTCGACATCTACAACTGCGCCACTGCCCTTCATAAGTTCGGGTTGAACTCGCGGGATGACGAGTTGGCGACGAGGCCGGTTCTGCGTAGAATCAAAGCCACATGCTCGAAAGTGCATGTGCTCAAAACAGGCAGATTCAGTCGGATCCCAACTTTATTCGGCTTTTCTCTGCCACGCGCCTTGGCGAGCAGTCCTTGTTTCGATGACATCCTCGAGTCTCGGCGCTCGCTTCCTCTAAGGAAGAAGCGGGCCCTGGAAATCGAGACCGTGGCAAAAGTGGAGCGTAACGCTGCGAGTGCGTTGATTTTGCTCTGTCAACTGCCTGTCGATGCAGGAGCCTCGCGTGCTCTCCTCCATCCTTTGGGCTTGTGCTGCTTGGAGAACATTCTGTGTTGACCGCTTCGACCCGATATTGACGTGTTCCACTGTTGGATCCATCTTGGAGTACTTCCCAGGCCAGGCTAAATATTTACGACAGCGAGCTTACGAAAGCCGTGGCTGAAGATGCCCAGTCCCGGATGAATCAGTGCCACGGTAGAGTTTGGTTTCAGGATAGTGGAGATCTCTGGTGGCTTGACATTGCAACATGCCGTGCTCTGAGCTGCTTCCAGGTATTCCCCACAGCAGATCGGCATGATTATGTGGGCCTTGGGTTATTCCGGAGTGCGGCCCAGGCTCGGAGTGATTTTGTCATGTCCACTCGTCAAACCGTCAAACTAAGCTTCCAGGCCCAGCTTCATCAAGGCGATGATTACAGAACTCCAAGGTCGACCAGACTTCGACTCTCACACTTGCATGATGATCACCTACAGCTGCATGTGGCTTGGCGCAGGGTGCACCAAGCTTTTTTTTCACATGACGCCCAGAGATTGAGGCGCTTGGGCATCCGCGACAAGCGAGTCATGGAGGCGGTAGGCAGCATGGCAGAAGTTTCTTACCTCCGATGAGAGGTCTCAGCAGAGCGTTTCCTCAGGTCGAGTCATTATCGACTCCAACCTGGAGGACGCCGAACCCTTGGAGGCTGGCCGTGCCTTCGCATCAGCGACGCAACGCATACGCATTGCTCAGCAAAGACAGACGACACTGTGTTGGCTACCGTCTTCAACGGCAAGGCTACAGTTGGAGTGCGAGCCGTCCTAGTCTCTTGTTGTGAGGTCGTGTTTGTCACATCCGATGACAGCAACGTAATAGCTAACTTGGTTTTTCTCTCGACAAGTCTGCTGGGCACCTGCTTGCTGCAAGGTGGCCAGCTACTGCTACGCCTACGGCAAGCTCGAGCAGCCGGGACATCACGATTTTGCGGTAGCATCCGTGGGTGCGAGCTTCTTTTGCGCTAGGTCTACATGTGCCCATTCCGAAGCCTCCACCATTTTGCACAAAGGTCTTGAAATTATCATTGTACCGAGCTGCACCATGATGAAGGACCAGTTGTGATCACCCCAAGTCACGATCCGGAGGTATTGGGAGAAGGGAGCCTTTTCCGTGATCGCAGATCGCGTCCTCGACACCATGGGGGACTTCTCTCCTCGGATGTTCAGCATGTCAGCCCTAGGCCAAAGGGCGGAGGATTTACAGTGTTCGAACTTGGAGGTTTCATCGTGTCCTCACTAACTATCCAACACGCCTGAAGCTTTTCGGAGTCTGACAGGCCTGGCTGCCGCAGCCGCAGCCCCTGTGTATGCAAGAGGTCAGTGACGAGTCAGCCCGGAAGATCGCATTGCTTTTTGGAAGTCGCGGCCATGCAGCCTTAGTCAGTCCACGCACGGAGTGTGTGGTGTTGCTGGCATCATGCACACGATAGTCAGTCTTGCTTTGCTTCGTCGCAGAAACCGAATCAAGCCTGTAAGCCACCATGTATCGATGCCCGCCGAATCGCTTGGTGATGGTGTTGCGAACAGATCTGCATCCAAGGTTCTTGAAGGCTTCGATGAAACTATGGACAAGTTGACGCTGGTCGAATGAAGTATTTATGATTGGAAGCATTTGACAGCATGGCATAGGTAGTGAAGCATGTGCGTTCCGATTTCGTGTCGATGGGTGGGGTCGGCATAGGTGGGCAAGCCGTGCAGGTCGACAGGTGAGGCCATCATGAAAGCCCAGAGTCATGGAAATGCGAGCTTAGACTGACTATGCTCATCAGATGATCAGCACCACTGGAGATGAGCTCCAAGCACCTGTAGGCCATGCAG